GTGCCTCAAGTCAGCATCAGATAGGGAAGAATTGCGAAACCCTTCATACATCAACCGTTGTCAAATCTCCAATGTTCTCCCACTGGTCTTGTGCCTAAGCAGCAACATAATTCCTTTCGCCTTATCCATCATCTGTCTTTTCCCCTCGGGACTTCTGTGAATGACTTTATCAAAAAAAAAGACTGTAGTAAAGTCCATTATGCATCATTTAATTCAGCAATTAAGTGAGCCATGTCTGCAGGTCCCAATGCATGGTTAGCAAAGACGGACATTAAGTCTGCGTTAAGGCTCCTTCCTGTTGTGCCTTCAGATTACGAACATTAGGTTTTCAATTTCACAAAAAGTTTTATTACAATAAGTGACTATCGATGGGCGACTTTATTTCATGCCCATTATTTGAAACCTTCAGAACATTTTTTGAATGCAATGCAAAGCAGGTTTTGGAAATGAATTTCATCACATTACTTGGATGACTTCTTATTTCTTGGTACATCTTTTCAGCATTGTGAAGTTCTTAAGAATACTTTTAAAGGGCTTAGTGCTAAGCTGGGGGCACCGCTCACACATGAGAAAACAGAGGGCCCCTGTCAAGGGTTATCTTGGCTTGGAAATAGATGTGGTGCAATGCGAGGTGCGCCTGCCAGATGCCAAAGTCTGTGTTCTGTGGGAAAAAATTTAGTCCGTATTGGGGTGCAGGAAATTGGCTCTCAAGGAAACCCGGTCTATAGTTGGCTCACTCGATTTTGTGTGTAAATCTATTGCGCTAGGTTGGGCCTTTACCTGTGTTTGATTGGATTAACCCGTGGTTTAAAGAAACCCCATCACAGAATCTGCATTTCTCCCGGCTCGAAGCTTGACTTGCTCGTGTGGTTGGAGTTTCTTGAACATTTGAACGGGGTTTCCCTCTTTTGTTATCAGGGCTGGCCTGATAATGATAAATTGGAGTTATTCACGTGCCGGTAGCATTGGGTTCGGTGGTTATTTTGGCGGGTGCTGGTTTCAACAGCTCGGGGGGAGCTGTTGGTGCTGTTGTCATCAATTGCATACTGCGAATTTTATCCATCAGTGGTCGCTGTATATTGCTGGGCCCCTCATTTAGCCAACCAGAGGGTGCATTTTCGGACAGATGATAAGGCCGTGGTTCACATTATCAACAACAATCATCTAGCTGCAATTGAATCATGCACTTAGTGCGCCTATTTGTATGTCAATTTCTGCAGTATAACGTCACATTGTAAGGCAGTCCATATCCAGGGAATACATGTATGCAATGATATTGCTGATTCCTTGTCTCATTTCCAGATGGCTCGTTTCTGTATGTTAGCTCCACAAGCGGATCTGACGCCGATCCCTGGTTTGCTCCAAGCTTGTTAGAAGGTGAGATTAGCCACTTTAATATATAACGGCCCCAGCTTCAAATATGTACAAGACTTTTCAGACAGGATAGCATGCATTTTGTTCTTTTCGGTCCTACTGTTCAACATGCCTCTCCCCATCTCATCAAAGAGTGTGAAGCCAATTATTGCTTGGCTTTCACTTCAATGGCTTGCACAATCCACCATCACTTACGTTTCCAGGATAGGCTATCATCATAAAATTCAGGGTTGACCAGATCCTACTGACAATTTCTTAGTAACAAAGTTGCTGACATGTTGTCGTAGAGACACTTTATCTAGGGATAAGCGTTTACCACTAACCTTGCCATTGCTGACCCGTGTTGTTCAAGCCCTACCTCAGGTTTGCAACGATCAATATGAAGTCACACTTTTGTTATGCTAAATGCGTTTTTCGGATTCATGGGCACTGGCGAGTTTGCTGCCATTTCAAAGAATCACATCCAGAACTCACTTCTCCTTGCCTCAGATGTACAATTCTACAACTCTGGAAAGGCCAATGCTTCAGTCGTAATCTATTTGTGGCACACAAAGAATAATCAAGCGGGCCCTCCTTAGGTAGTTAGATTAGTCAGTTAAACGGATTAGAAGATATGTAAGGTCAGAGCACTGGGATCATTTGTGCTTATTCCACCGAGACTAACTGGTGGGTTTTCTGCTATTCGGAGGGGCTCGCCTTACTCAATATCAGCTTAACGCTATATTGAAAAAGGTGTTCTTGTTCTTGGGTCTGGAAGATTTGTCATTTAGTGTACACTCATTTCATATTGGCACTGCATCAACTGCTTCAGGGTTGGAATTTCCCTTTGATGAAATAGAAACAATGGAGCATTGGCATTCCAAGGCTGCACAGCGTTACCACCCTGTACATCCTCCCGTTAGTTCAGTGTCAACTGCCTGCTGTATAAGGGAGCTTTTGACTCTATCCCTTGGCATCTCAAATCTCCAACTGTTAGTTATTTCTTGTTTCACTCCCCTGTTTACAGGGGATGTTTGGATCATTGGTGATTCCATCGTTCATAGGGCTGCAACCAGGCTAGACAGTAGGCCCCAAGTATGCTGGTATGGCCCAGGGGGAGCCCACTATGTTGATATAACAAAACTACTTTCGAAGTTACACGGCACCTGGTCTTGGCGGACCAAGATAACAGTACACATTGGAACTAATGAATTGGTTGGTGCCAATTTTTTCACAAGACGCCAGTGCATTGCATTATTCATGCAGGAATGCCACGTTACTTATCCTGAAGCTCAGTTGGTTTGGTCAGACTTACTGCTTCGTGCATGCTACTTTGGAGCCATTAATTGATAGGCATGTTCTTTCAGCTGCCAAGTGGGTGCATCGGTTCTTCACCATCCCCAATTTAAATGGTCGGAATTCTCTCTTTTCCGCTCCGACGGGGTTCATCCGTCAGACACTGGTAATGCCCGTTTTCGGGCTAATCTTCAAGATTGCATTGATACAGCCTTTAGGTAATGGATGCAGATTCAATGCATGTTCCATTGTTAGGTGTCTTTTGGGTACTTCCTGGGGATGGTGGCCATGTGTTGCCTGCCGTCCCAGAGGGGTGTACGGTGCACGTTTGGCAGAAATTTGCTGAGAGTGATGGCCAGTGCCTCAATTCAAACCAAAGGAACATCTTAATTAGTTATTAAGGTTTTAAAGTTTTGAAGTAAGACTTGAAATGTGTTAATCATTCTTAAAGTTTTGAAGTAAGACTTGAAATGTGTTAATCATTCTTGTTTTAATTTAAAAAATATATATAGCTACATAGAAGCACCCTCTTGTTCTGGTGGGGCTGATTCCAACCTTATGTGCAATCGTTGGAAAAACTGCATTTTTATTTGTAGGTAATTTGCATTGTAGTTTAAGTCACGTGACAGATTGAAACACTTTGACTAGACCTCACTTGTTCTGTGGGGCTAGTTTCCAACTGTAACTTTGAACAGTGGATACACACTGTGAATAATTGGCAAGCGTGCCAAGGAATTTTTCACGGCCCAGAAATGGCAAGTTTTGTGGGCAAGTGTGCTCCTGTTCTACGGCCAGCCTGCCAAGGATGCCAAGCATGGCAAAGTTTTTGGGCAAACGTACACCTGTTCTACGGCAAGCATGCCAAACTTCTTTGTTTTAAATTAAAGGAAAACAAAATAAATGGGTGGCTAGAAAAACTATGCCCAAACAACTAGACCTGAGTAACTAGACCTGAATCTTAGGCTGAATACCGGGCTACGTAGTATGTGTATATGCGAAGCTTTAAAAAAAAACCCAGCAACCCAAGTGCGTGCTTGTTTACCAAGTCTACAATTTTCAATGTGTCAAAGAAAGAAAGATAAACACGTATCAGATTATTCTCAGGAACCCAGTGGCTTCAATTCCTATGACAGTAACTATAATTTACTTGTCAATGAATGAGGACGACAGCATGGAACCTGTCAGTTTTGCGGGGTTGCTGTGGCGGTCCCAAAATCAAACCTGGCAGTGGTCCAGCAGCACAACGCCATACACCGGCAGCTGCAGCACAACACAAGCAGTCGGCGAGGCTTATGCATCCCTTTTCTAAATTTGAAGTGCTTTTGCAGACACTGGATATTTGTTGAAGCGGTCTTCCAAAAATCTGTGGCATATTACTTATCTGCGACACTCGTGAAGGTTTAAAATCTACCCTTAATGCGTTGTCCAGGAATGATCGATTCTATGTGTTATTTCATGAAAACCTTGAGGCCAAGTCTCATGGTACGAAACTCCTGCCTGAACTGTATAAGACCGGATATGTTTTAGTTTATGACAAAAACCCAACAAATTAGGCACTTACACTAGATGTATGGAACAATCAATGTAGTAGATGAGAACCGCGCAAGATCATCACATTTTGAGCATGCCTTCCTGTGACATTTTTGGGTCACCTGCACATCATTAATATATACTGAGTGTTTCAGAAATCGGCGAAAAAGGGACTCAAGGAAGCCCATTTTTTTTAACCTTTTTCAACCACAAATGGGAAAACTGTTCCATTTTTTCATGTTAATTTTGAAGATGGTCTTGTCACCTCTTGTTTAAAGGCTATAATTGGGGAAAGAAGGCTTCTCTACCTCTTTAACAGATAAAGAATATGGTACAGAATTTCAAGAGAACACTTTGCCAACCACATGAATTAAATCAACCCTAACCCCACAGGTGTAATCACAATTATATCATACCTTGTTGCACTGAGAACAGTACGCATACTAGTATTTGCATTATTCTTCAGACATTTTTTATCATTAATTTGGATATTTCCTGTACAGCACACTGAGCACGGGTGTTGCCAGGACTTTACCAGGGTAACGCTTTCATCCATAGCATGCTAACAAACCACTTCAAGTGAAGGGGATTCATTTTGAGGCATTTTGAACAAAACTAGTGATTTTCATTTCCTTTCCTCCATCTTTTGTTTCCCGTTTTTTTTTCATTTTTCATTTTCCTCTGGGGGAAGGGGGAAAGGGAGAAGGCAAATACCCTCCAGACCTCTTGAGATGCCCAAAACAAAAACATTTTTATTTTGAGATGTAATGTTCAAAACAATTTGATGAAATAAATTTGGATCATGAATGGACACTCCATACCATTTCATTTTGTGTCAACGTGCCTGTCTTGTCAGTCAACAGGTAAGAGATACGACCCAGCTCCTCGGGGATGGTAGTGGTGCGTACCACCGTGTCAGGAATCTCTTTGTCTCTTTGAATTAGGAAAGAATATACAATCTTGCCCATATCCAGGTTAACCCGCAAACTGTGTGGCAAAAAAAACAAAAACAAAAGAATCATAATAATCTGAAAGCAGACTAGTTGAAACTTCTCTTCGTCTTAGATGTTCAATTACAATCTTTTCCATGATATATTTTTGTCAAATTAAAGATATATATTGAGATCTCTTGAGATAATTCTCACTCCTCATTGGATAAAGTCACTGAGATTGGTAGTTAAACGTACATGAACAAAGCTACATGGACTGATAATCCATCAAAAAATCCACCAAAAGTCGCTGACTGCTGTATGGTACCCACTTCTGTATCTGATTTAATTGATTTGTGGCCCAAACAAACACGGTGCTTGAAAGGTGAAAGGTATGCACTGGTAAGGTGTTCTGGATTCGGGCCCCTCATAAACTTTCACTCCAGGTGGTCTACTTACATTATAAAAGAGAAGGGCAAAAAAAGTAGAAAAGAACATACTTTGCTGCAGAAGATTTGTGAATTTTGATGCTTGAAATTAATACTGAAGATGCTCCACCATGAATCTGGTTTAAGTTTTGCCATAAATTCACTAATGAGATTGTAGTCTGTTGTACAGTGTGACTTTGATTTTAATGCCATACCTCAGGGGGATAATAGAGGAGAAGAGAAGGATATATCTGAAGAAATACCGATACCATGGACCATCAAAGCCCTGTCAATGAAAAAAAATACAGCTATTATAAGAGTGCTGCAGATTACAATAGCATAGTAAGTGACAAAAATCAAAATACTTTCCTTTTATTTCTTTCAGTGAAGCTTGTGGGTGCAAAATCATCTTGGTTGCTTACATGCAGATTTCAGGAATTCAAAACTGTGATGCTTGGTAACAAATATCAAAAACACGAAACAAAAAACAGGAATGTCCCCTTTATTTGTGAGTGTGTTGGACTGTTGAGATCATCTCTAATTTACTGCAACTGCTTGTATTGAAAATATATAAAGTTCAACAAGCAAGGTAATGCAACGAATACCCGTAAATGCAACATGTTTGTGCTTTCAAAGACTTAACAACTGGGAGCAACTAGACTCTTTTTTTCTAAGTTAAGTGTTATCACTATGGTGCATGTATGTGCAAGTGCATTTACCTTCTTTTGAAAACTATTTGTCAATTGTGACAGTCAGTCACAATGGAATATATGATCCCACTGTGACTGAATTTTTAATAATTCATGTTTATAAATAAAACTTTTTACTTCCATATTTTTTTATAACTTTTTTAAACTTGCATGATCAGATTGATTATTACTTGTAGAAGACACCTTGTTAACAATACATGTATTTCAAAGTTAAATGAAGACATACCTTGAGACCTATCATAAGAATAGCAAGTATGATAGTGCCAATGAAGAGAACCTTGGTCTGTGTGTTGATTTCTAGATCAAGCAGACCTATCTTAGAGTGTGGGTAAGATGTATTCATCACAGCCCGTGTCTCTCGTCCTGTATAAATGACCACTCCAAGAGCCCGTCCTGCAAGGAAAGCAAACCGTCACGGTGTATCATTCATCATTATAGGTATACACACTGCTTTGGGCCATTTTGTACACTCACTGCTGCGCTCTGCCTCAGGGAATACATGAAATGCATCTTTTTCAAGGGACAGCTTTACACTTGGACATGTTCCTCAACAAAACAGCCCAATAAGTTCATTTAATGGATCAAAAGACCACAGTGACCTTTCCTATGATGTGACACTAAACGGTTAACATCAAGCTGGCTGAGTCACAAGGAACCTACAAGTTAATTCAAATTGCTGTTTTGTTTAGGATATACCAAAATATTAACATGTACAACCAAAATAAAAAATGATATTATGGCAAGTCACTACATGTGAACAGATCCCGTGAGAGAAATCAGTAAGTAAAAAAGACAAGACCAGTGGATGTGCAAAATGTAGGTATTTGATTAATTACAAGTATCACAAAAGACATCCTTAATCCTTCTAGGAAAAGAGAGTGGTTATGGGGCTGTGTTTATCATAGGAGGGAGAAATCAAAGGTAAATAAGTAGGAAGAGATCAAAGTGTTTACTCAAACCAGCTCACAGTAAGTAAATAATCGTATCAGTAAATAAAAACAAACTAAAGCACAGTAGAAGCAATAAATGCCAAGTGGCTGTAACACCAGACGTATCGTGGGTCAGGGTTACATATATACAAAACCATTAGTTACACAAATAAAAATTGAAATCACACTCATTGTTTTTTAGTTGGTAAAATTAAACAAATTTTTTTTTTCACATGAAAAACTATTTTGAAAGAATGACTAAATACCAAAGGGTATCGTGGCTTGGTGGTGCACCAGGCGGGGTGGGCCCCGATACTTGCAGGGAGCCTGACCCGGTGACTTCGGTACCTGGGCGAGAGGGAGTACACCCAAAGACCGCAAGTGAATTACTCTTCTTGACCGACATTGACTGGCGGGTGGACTCCTCTGGGCCATGGCGGTTGAAGCGCGTGGCGTACGATGATGGTAGAATGGGCCCAGAAGATGTTTAGTGGAGTACTCTTTTGGGAGTCCCGGCTGGCTCGCCAGGCCTGTGATTCACCAAGGAGACAGGGTCCTTGCCAGATCCTGGCAGTGTCCCTGCTCTGGTCTTCCACAGCTGGCCACAGAGCTTCCCCATCAGTTTAAATGAAAAAACACCTCTTTCAGACCAGACTCACTGTGATCGCATCACCCGTTGTCTTCTTGAATAAAGCCCCCCAAGCGGCATAAGGAACAGTCACCAAGTCATTGGTGGTAAACCGTAGCACAAATTGCCGAGGGGATTAGCATTATTGAAGGACTACTGACGTGCTCCATCAGCGATTACTGGGATTAAGCTTTTCAAGAGGTGTTTTCAATTGTACAGTCAACTCTTGTTAATACGAAGGCCATGGGACATTTGTGACGGGGGGCATGTTTTTGGGGCCAGATTTTTTTTACGGAACACAATTTTTATTAGTTTCCTCGGGGACTTTGGTCTTGGGGGATTTTTGGGGTGGGGGAATCAAACGAAAGATTTCTTTTGTTCACCACTGGCATAAATATTGTAGCACTTTTGGCTTCTATGTTCGGTATGAGAACCGCTAATGCCCATTGTTCGTCCCTCTTGCAGCACTGGATGCAAATGGCTTGATTCGGTAAGGGAAAAACTGCAGCGCTGTTCTACTGTATACGCAAAAATTACGGAAGCACCTTTCAAAATGGAATGGACTGGCTGATTGACAATAGATTGCACTCGGCAAGTCAGCAGGTGCACAAAAAAATGCTTGTCTTAACCAACATCTCATAACACCCGAGCTTGAACTACGCATTTATTCCCTCATAGGAATGTGCACAATTCAGTCGGGACTGGCAGAATATGCTTGTCTAATCCAAAATCTTGTCTCACCCCAGTACGTATTACCAAGAGTCGACTGTACTCATTGTAAAAATGCTATGGACAATGGTTTTTGACACTGCGGGGTAGGCAAAAATACTCATCTTGTTGGTGTTCTCGTCGTAGCCTGATCAAATTAAGTAAATTTTCTCTCATAGGAATGTGTACATTTTGAACAGGACTGAAGAAATATGCTCATAGTAAGTGCGACCTGGTCTCCAGTGTGCTCATGTTAATCGTGTTCGACTGTAATACCTTATTCACAAAGGAAGGAAAGGTGATCAAATCAACACAGAACCGTGTAGCAAAAATGGAAACTCAAAAAATCGAAAATGCCTTGGAAGTCACGTCTCTTGCGTTACGGTGTTGAGAAAAGAACCATCATGGCGGCGAGGCTGCATCGCACTGTGGGAGGTCAGGGTGCACTTTCCGTGATCAAATCCTTTCAGCTGTTGCGGTGCTACCCCATTACGCAACAACATACAGTTGTATTTGGAGTAATTATTTGAATAAATCACTCAAGCTTGCCCACAGCGGGACGTTCCATTCTGCCCAGCCATGAGGCAGTCCTGTGCCTAGCTTCGAAACTGTCAATATGTGTCTTTAGTGTCATTTGTGATGTTTCATGAGGCTTAGCACTGGCTCACCCTCCTGCTATAAGATAATGTCCACAACATTGGCAACAAGGATAAATTAGTTATCACTATAATAATAATAATTCAATACCATACAACTTATCGCTGGGTTAAGTTATCCTGTCAGCAAATTTCTAGTCTGGTTTTCTCACTAATTACATTAATTATAGTAAATACTTTATGTGTTAAATGCACTATTTAATGTAATGACAAGGCAGTTACTTTGTGCTTATCACACGACTTTTGAAAAAAAAAATAGATAAAATTATACTGTTAATCTGGTAAACTGTTGAGTGTCACTCTCAACAGAAAGCGTTTACAGCATTGAGTGACAAGCTAGCACTTCCTTTAGGTAGTTAATTTGTGACTGCAAATAAATGCATGAATACAGTATTCTGTGAGTTAAAACAATCATGGCTGTCTCAATCAATAAGGTATCCCTTTAAGGAATTGACCACCCTTACAGGCACAGGTGCTAAATTTGCACAAGTTATAGTGTCAATGAGGAAAGAAACCCCAAACCTCCAGTCAAAACTAAACAAACTGGCAGAAAAGGAGTTATTAAATATCAACTACGCCGCAAACCCCCAGATTGAACAAAGTCAAACACAAGCTGAGTCTAAGTTTAATTACAATGAACTGACAACTGCGGTCACAATGCTAACAAAACAAATGGAAATGTTCATGCAAAAGATGGAGAAAATGCAGTCTGATAAACATAACTAATGCCAATAAAATCTCGGGGTGTTATCTTGAAAATAAAAATGAACACACTCCACGAAAAACTTCCCATAAAGCCAGAACTCGTGACTCCTGGTGAAACAAACTCACTGGTGACCAAATTATAGACGCCACCCTAAAGGTAATTGACAATAAGGCCCTACTACCACAATCCTTCGTACCTCAAACTGTACAGCAAATGGCGGCTGGCAAAGACCAAAAACTGGAACTGCTGCAAGACCAAAAGCCGCTCATAACACATGGTCCAGCCATTCAAACTGTTATGTCAGCATTTCAGCATCGGGAGTGCCCGAACAAAAAACCAGCATTAAAGCTCCATGATCCAAACAAAGAGGGAATGTTGATTGCCCAACAGAACAAAAAGCCACTCACTTCAACAAAACAGACCACAATGCCAGTAAAACAAAACTTGATACAGACTGACAATTATATTCAGCTCCTAACTTTGAACACAGTTACGTCAGGCCCGACAAACCAATTTCCAGGCGGTCGCGCGTTCAACCGTACAATCCCCAAATTAACCTCATATGATGGCACAGGTAACTTTCAGGCTTACATTGTGAGATCTGAAGTTATTGCAGTGTTGTCGTTGGGATGAAACCACAAAATTACTCCAACTGGTCAGAGCTCTTACAGGCAAAGCTCTCGACTGCTATGCTTAGCAGGAACCAAACGTCACGCAGAACTACCAGTGAATCAAAGAACAGATGCTCAAAATATTCAGAAAATTCAAGACCCTATAATACATCGAGCAGAATTGTCCACCATCCACCAGCACGAGGACGAATCTCACGTTCAATTCAGACAGCAAGTAAGGCCAATAGCAACAAAAGCATATAAAAATGCTAGCCCAGATATTTTCAAAACTATAGCTAGAGAAGCTTTTCTGAAAGGTTGTATAGACGTAGAAGCTGCCGAGTTTGCACTTTACAGGGGCCTAAAAAGTTGAACAAAGCTGTGCAATTCACACAAACAGCCCAGCATAACCGCGAATTACTCTCTCGAACAAACAAACCAAAGGTTAGGCGTGTTTCATTCCATGAACAAGTAACCTATAATCCCCCAACTGTTCAACAAGTTGAAGTCCAAAAGATGGGTAATGATCAGGTAGACATTCATGTCGATTGGTCAGAACTTGGCTTGGGCGGTACTTCGGTATTACAGAATACCACATTTTTTTTAATACCGAACAATACTGCTTAACAATCCATGAATACCGAAATACCCATTAATTTGGTAATGAATTTCAATACCGCGGTATTCTGGCTAATTTGTTCCGAATGTTCCCACAACCCTCATAAGATGAAAGCAGACAATTATACCCACAACAGTGACTGCATCCTTTGTGCTTTCAGTCATCCAGCATCACATTTGTATTGTCTCTTTTGGTGAGGAGATAAGACGTAACGTGATACTTCAACATGCAGCCATCAACCCGCCTATCAAAAGGTTTTGTTTCCCAATTGCTGCCGTCAAGTTTGCAGTTTTGGAATAGCTTGTAGGCAGTGCTTCTTGTATTACTCACTGGCACGTGTACATGTATCACAGCCCTACAGGATGGGAATTAAAAATTAGCTGGTCTTCCGTGTACACACTGGACTTTATTTTCCGAAGATTTTTATTGGCGTATCAGAAAATGCGAATGCTGCTTGTGCTAGCCTTGTGCTCTCTTAGGGTCTTTTTGTCCTTTGTATACAACATGTACAAGTATTGTGTGAAAATCTCTCCACT